GTATAATTTTATTTGTTTTATTGATTATACGACATTATTTTTGCTTGAAATTTTCGTGATAAGTAAAAATTAATAGTAACTGAAAAGGGTTAAGAGATATTTCCCTCCCTCGTGGATCCTCGCCTGTAATTTGAATGATGGTGAAGCGATGATGGAATGAGCTCAGAAACGTTAGAACCCAAGAATACTTGCCGGAGACCCTCATTGTGCACCAAAAATTTTTCATGGATTCGTATGAATTTGAATCCCAGGACCCAGAAAGAGAAAGAGATTGCTCAGACCATCACACCCTGGTTCAGTTCCAAACATTAAGTATTGGAGGAACCATTTTAGAATTATTCGAAATACGCGAGGATAGACAAATTGGTTAGTTTTTACAGTATATTAGAAATGCAAGAATTTGCTTTGAATAAGGAATGTTGATTTTTTCTAGAGTAATATTATTCATGTTGGCTTTTCTACTCTGTGCTGACGTAGCCAAAATAAAATTTTAAAACATACAGCTCCAAACACATGTCAACAAACCTTTGGTTTCTATATATAACAGTTACTTTTAATCATGGAGAAAATATTCACATGTATGCAAGTTAAAGCAGTAACTGTAATGTAAAAAAGAGAAATGGATAAGACAATACTGTAAAACCACTCTTTTTTAGTCCTTAATATCATATGATTGGGCTTTTGAAAACATTTTTGTGAAATGTTGTTTTTACCGTTTTCGTACAGTTCAAAATGGTTCGTACCAAAATCGTCCGCTTGGCTGTATATCTGGTTTACTATTTTCCGGTATCGAACCCCTACACAAAGTAATCCGTAAGTTTGACGCAGTCGGCCTTTGCATCTCGTTGACCTACAAAACCCCGATCATTTTTTAGAAACTTTTCCTAATAATTCATTGTTTTTATCTCGTATATTTAGCCTGACTTCTAAATAAGTCACCAAAGGAGAAAAATGTTTCAAGTTACACCCCTTTGATAAAGAATTCCAGGAAGGATAACATTCGTGAATTCAAATCTATTAATATTTGATTGGAACGCATACATTCGAATATGTCATCATTTATAAAAGAAATATTCCATCAGTTTCTGTGTATTCGATTTTCATGTCTGTTACGAAGAGATTATCAATAACTCCGAGTTTTGACTGTACGTATTTGAAATAAACGGTTTTGACCTTAGAATTTGACCCCACACCCCCCTTTTGTCCCCTTAGAATTTGGACCAGCATTTGTAAATTGTTTTTACATAGTAAACATGAATGTTTTAGCACCTTTTGTACGCTAAATTATGTAAATACATTTTACCAACTGATTGCAAAATATGGGTCTCATGAGTGTCACAGCTTTGAATATTGATTTAAACATTTCAAATGAATGATGTACCATTAAATGATCGCATTGAATGTTACGACAGCTCGCGATCTGGCCTACATCTGGAGCAAGAACTGCTCCAACGAAGAGAAGCTTATGTGGACCAGGCCCTCCATCTCCTTTCCCGGTCCAGAGGCAATAAGCGGATTGGGACCCAACCTGGCCTCTGACGCAATTCACACGTATCTCTCAGGGAGTCAAGCACATCGCTGCACTCGCTCTCTCGTCTTCCGTTCCTCCCTATCTTCAGTATCCTCTCTCCCTCTTCTCGCCGTATTCGCTCTTTCCGTCTTCAGTCACACCTTCTCCACCACCGAACCACTCGCCCAAGCTCTCACTCGGCCTCTCTCGCGAGAAAGAGGCGGCGCAAATACCACAAGGAAGCCCCTCTTCTTTTTTGTTTTTTTATTTTTTTTTTTTGTCGCCGCGAAGGACGCCGGCCGAAGTTGCGAACTTCGCCCCGCTCCTCGCGCCCTGCGCCCGCCGCAGGGGTCACCAGCCCGCACAACGCCTCGCCACTCCGCCCTCGTCCGCCCTTCACACTCACCCCCGCGCGCCCTCAGACACGCGTTTACAGTTGCACGTTCAGACACGAAAGCGTTCGCGCCAGGGAATGATCGCGTGCGATTGGGACGCACCGGATGAGGTAGCATAGGGCATCTGAGGACTCTGTAGAGGCTCTGACCGGGAGATCCTAGGGTCCGAGTCCAGACGGTGGCGTATTTTTGCCACAGCTTACATTGCACTACAACATCGAATTCAGCCGATGTTTGGAGGAGAATCTGATAGCCAACTTCTCTGATGGGTAGTTTTCCGTGCTTTTTTATCAATATCAGGCGAATGCCGGATCAGAACTGCAACAAACGGGATTCGGACTGAGAACCGTCATTCATTTCTCTTCGTTGTTCTAACGCCACCCCCGTACTTACACACACTCTTATACGCTCTGCATTGTCACATTGAAGTCCATTGAAGTCCATTCAGGGGCTTAGAGCTGGACTCTACCCGGTTGATGAATGATATACGTATGGGGAAAGACTGCAAACAGATGTGTCGCTCGTCACCGAATCTCAAAAATTCAAGATCGCTTCTGTCTCTTGCAACAAAATATTCACTACACTTACGGTGATAATGATCATATAAGTTGACGCGACCTAAAACGCGATATAATCAACCAATCCAATCGATCGAATGGAAGTCATTTCGTAACCGAAACATTTGATTTACAAGTAATCCTACCCTATGGTGATCTTACGAAGAAAAGGTAGTGAAAAAATGCGAAAATGGTGTGAGGAGGTCTAAATACAAGACTGTCCGAGTCCGCTTTTCGAATTTTTTGTGTGTCGGTATTTTTGGAATGTGGAAGCTAAAGTATATCGGATAAAATGAGAGATGTGATGGAAAGTGTATCACAATCCGTTTTAAATATAATGTGAAATAACGGTTGACATGCAAATGTAAACGAGTCTAATCGAGGGTCAAAACTCGCCAAACCCGTCACGACCAATGACAGCGTCGCATGGAGTCACTTGGAGTTTGTTGCCAATGAAGGCCAAATAGAATAACACCATTGTGTCTATAACTTCAAGAAATCATGCGAAGAAATCGTTCATTAAAATTCAACATACAGTTGGCATTTTAAGCTATCAGACGCTGAGAGAATTATTTTGCTATGTTTGCTGAAAGGTAGCATAGAAGATTCTGGCAAGTATTTTTACAAAACAAACTGCAATGTAGAAAAATCAATTTTAAAAAGAAGTATAACATAACAAAGAGTGTTACCAGTTGCAACATCCAATAGTGTTCTTGGGAACGAGGTAAAGATTCACGATATAAAAACGTTCTGGTTAATCATTATTGTCCAGCGTGACATTCACGGTAAGTCGACAAATAATAATAATAATAATAATTATTATTATTATTATCATTATTATTATTATTATTATTATTATTATTATTATTATTTCAATATCTTGAAACTGTCCTTCACTGTTGTCACCAACAATATTAAGTCTACTCCGGAATCAACAGCTAACAATGTGCAAGAACCTATGTTATGATTCTCGTACTGCCAGTTAAAATGAAGATGTATTCTCCCGTAATACTTCTCCCATCATCTAACCGGCTGCTAGAAAATATTCTCAGTACTTAGCATAACCACCACAACTAATTATTTTTTTTATATTTCAGTAATTGTATACGCTCCTCAGCCCTTAATTTTTCGCAATTTAATTGAGCTATTGATCAAGTAAAGCATTATATTATCATATATTTTGGTTATATATTAGCATTAGAATCCTTTACAAAAACCCAAGCATTAAATTTAACACTACATATTTTTATTACATTCGATGTTCGAAAATAATTCCATTGTAGAACAATACAAGAATAATAAGAAAAAATTAAAGGTTACACTTTACTATATCAAATAAATGTTTCTTCGAAGGGTAAAAAAAATATTACGTTGTGATCTACGATTTTGTTGTGTATATGTTACAAAACTTTTGTAGTCATATTTGTTTTTTAATATGTATGAGGATATTTTATTATAATACTCTCATTATAATTTTCCAAATCCACATTGGAAAGACTTTCAAAAACCACCTCGAATGTATTCTGATCCCTATCATACTTTCAGGTTCTCACCCAGTAGGATTCGCTGATCTTCAACCCCCCTCCCCACTTCCACTCCGCTCTCTCCATCCCCCCCCCCCCCAAGGGACGCCTCCTGGCAGAGGGAGTCGCCTAACGCGGCTTCATTTATTTCTCGTTCTAAAAACTTTCCTTATAATTCAAAAGCACGGCGAAAGAGTTAGGAAAAGGGCAGACTGCATTAAGGATGTCGAGTCTTTGCAACTCCCCAAGTTTTCGCTCTATTTTATTTCCACAAGAGGTGACACACAGCAAGCGAGACCCTCAGCTTGAACCGTCGCCGCCACCTCTATCTCCGCCGCCTCCACCCCCGCATTCGCCCCCAGCCACCCGCCGTTATTATACATTCTGTCAGGACCGCACAGTTAGCTGTTTGCAACCACCACCCTTCTCCGTGCTTGGACAGACTTTTTATTATTTTAAAAAAACTTGCGTGCAGGAAACAAGACTCTTCCCAACAAGTTTCTATAAGAACAAAAATTTACGCAGTTATGGTGGAACTCACGAAATGAATACCCCGCCTCGGAAAGATGCGTTGTCCGCCTCCCTTCTATGCAAAACACGGGGTATCCCAAACGCGAAACAATTTAATTAGCTTGTATTAGTACATGAGGCAAATTGAGGCCATCCCGAAACATGACATCGTATACTCTAGATTACCGCAATTAAATTCATATTAATATAATTTAAATTTTTAATGACGATGAGAAAGGTCGTTTGTGGCAAATGTTGCGCAGCTACCAACAGATGGAATCGATGTTTAGCGAGTTGGCTTGCGAAGCCACCAATAATGTTAGTCCTCTCCCGCCGTAAGAAACTGAATG